TGCCTCAGAGTGTGAGACCTGAGCTTAGAACCCCAGGACGGCCCCTCCGAGTAAAAAAGCAGCGCAGTTGGATGAGAGTCAGGAGGGGCAGATCCACACGTGCACCAGGAGACAGAGCAGAAGTGTGGCGGGCTGTGTTCACTGGGAGGACTGGCCGGCGGGGGGGGGGGGGGGGGGAGCCCTGCCGGCCTGAGCTCCTCCACGGGGAGCGCCCAGAGGCCAACTGGGTGTGCAGGAAGTGTGTGGTGGCCTGGGCCGGGAGAGGTGCCCAGAGTCCCCAGGGAATGAGGGAGCCGCCCAGATCTAATGTGCATGTCCAGCGGACCCTGGACCGCCAGCCAGGGTCTCAAGCTGAGGTTGTGCCTAGATCTACAGCCTGTGAGGGAAGAGCAGAGGGGAGGTGCAGGGCAGGGGGAGGCCATGTGAAGAGGAGGCAGCTGTGAGGGCTGGAGCACCTGCAGCCTCTGGTCACTGGAGGAGCCACTGCCAGGGAGGAGCCTCGGAGGCTCGGCGCTAGAGTCACCAGAGACCAGAGGAGAGAAGGCCCAGGGATTCAATTTGTATTCTTTACAGGCATAGATAAGAAGTGGGGATCATCCCGGCTGCTCAGGAGGCTGAGACCCGAGGATTTCCACGTGTGCTGGACCATAGGACAGGTCCACCGTTGGAGTCCGCTTACGTGGCCTGTGACACATTGTCTGTGTCATTGTCATGTGAAGGCCCCAGCAGGGAGGGAGGGGGAAGGGAGGCAGAGGGGGAGGGAAGAGGGGGAAGGAGGGAGAGGGAGGGGAGGCGTCTGTTCTACCACTTGAACCACAGTTCTACGTCCGGCTTTTTGCTGGTTAATTGGTCTCTCTCAGATTTGTTTGCCTGGACTTGGCCTCAGACCACAATCCTCCAATCCCAGCCTCCTGAGTAGCAAGGGTTATAGACAGACACGAGCCCCCAGCACCTGGCTTTTATTCTTCGTCTGTCTTCTTTCCCTCAATGCTTCCAGCAAGTTCTGATCCCCAGTGCACCTAGCTCTTCCTGCGGGGTGGCCACACCAACAGTGCTGAGCTCATGGGCGGGCAGAGAAACTTGAAAACCGGTATGGAAATGAAGATGGCTCACATGGAAGATCCCCCCACCCCTCCCCCCCAGCCTCCTCCGGCAGCTCATCGGGGCCGAGTGTGTCTGCGGGAACTTCCTGAGGCCCTGCAGGACCCAAGCATGGGGAAGCAGCCCAGCAACCCCAGGACCTTGGCTGCTGCCGGCACTCACTCCTGATTTAGACACAAGTGGGACACAAACCTCTCAGTGGCTGGTCGCGCGCTTGGCTTGACTGATTGTTTCCAGCGGATCTATTTTCTCAGTTATGATAGCCAAAGAAAGGCTTCTCCCCCCCCCCCCCCTCGTGTCAGCTCCGGGGCTTGAACTCAGAGCCTCATGCCCTTGCTTGGCCTTTTCAGTCAAGGCGAGCGCGCTACCACTCGAGCCATTGCTCCACTTGAAGCTTTTTGGTGGTTCATTGGAGATAAGAGTCTTACAGACTTTCCTGCCCAGGCTGGCTTCAAACTGTGACCAGCAGATCTCAGCCTCTTGAGTAGTGAGGATTACAGCTGTGAGCCACCAGTGCTTGGGTCCCTTCCCCCTTCCCTTCCCTTCCCTTCCCAAGGCTAGCACTCTACACTTGAGCCACAGCACTACTTCTGGCCTTTTCTGCTTATGTGGTATTGGGGAATCGAACCCAGGGCCTCATGCATGCAAGGCAAGCACTCTACCACTGAGCCGCCTTCCCAGCCCATCTTTGCGGTCTTTATTGACAAATTAAATTTTGCCAGTCCTGGAGCTTGAACTCAGGGCCTTGCACTGTGGGCTCTGCTTTTTCTGTTCATCATGGGTGCCCTACCCCTTCAACCACACTTCCAGTTCCTGCATTTTGCCAGTTCATTAGAGATGGAATCCCAGACTTTGTCACCCATGCTGGCTTCAAACTGTGAACCTTAGGATCTCCGCCACCCAAGTGGCTTGGGTGACAGGGGTGAGCCCCCCCTGGTGGCACCCCTGCCCGCACGCACCCATTGGAGAAGGGCTCAGAGCACCCAGCAGGGGGCAGTGCTGAGCACCGTCAGTCCCCATCTGTTTGAAGCAGGGGCTGCATAATGCCCACTGGGGAGGGAGGCGGCCATTATCCGGGAGGAGGGGGTGAGGCGCTGCGGTGTGGGCGTGACTGCTGACCGGCCTGCCCAGCGGCTCCCCTCCCCCCGGGGCTGATCCAACTATCGCCAGTATTTCCAGGCTGCAGGTGGGCGGGTCAGGCTCCTGCAGGTGCAGGGCATGCATCTGCTTTCCCACAGCCCCTCTGTAGCCCTTCCGGTCCCCTCCTGAACTGCCCACTCCAGCCCAGGGCACGGGGTAGGGTCCTGGAACCTCTCTGAGGAGCCCAAAGTCCCGCAGAGCAGGGTGGGGGCTGGGACTGGGGGGAGGTTGGAGGGGGCGATGGCTGGTGAACAGCAGCCCCTTCCTTGGTCACAGCTTCAGATGGTGAATGGGGTAAGTGCCACGCTCACTCCTCTTATACCTGTTCACGTGCACGGTGTGCACACAGCACACACATGCACTCATGCACACACATGCAATACAAACCACACACAGGCACATACATGCACACATGTGCACAGACGTGTGCATTCATCCACGCACCACACGCTCTACTGGCTCTTTAGAAAGTACACACGCCTAACCTGACAACCTACACATTTCACTTTTTTACGTGTGGTGCTGGGATTCGAACCCAGGGCCTCACCCACGCAGCGGGACTCTCCCGGAGCCGTGCATACACACTGCCGAGTCTCTGCTGCCCTCTCCTCCACAGAGGCCTGCAGGTTTCTGCAGGTCCAACACGGCTGCTTTTCCTTCTTTCCTTCCCAGAGCAAAGCAACCCTTGAGCACATAACCCCACGATGAGGAGGATCTGTGACAATCCTTAGTATTAACAATGCTAGTTGTTGTGGTTGGCAGTGAAGGGTTCAGGACTTCGATTTACTCATTTTACAGCGTTATTGGAAGAAAGGGCTCCTGGGCAGTCTTGGGGAACTCTGTTCGTTGTGATGGGCTTTGTCTGCCTCCTAGTGGCTACTTCTGGAAACTGCGGCCCACAGGACCTTAGGGAGCGGGCCAGGCCTCTGCCAGCCCTGTCCCATTCCTGGATCCAGGGTAAGGGTGCAAACCAGCGTAGCATTCTAGAGAAATGTGGCAACATCCAGCCAAACCACTTCCCTCTCCAGCAAGCCCCCAAGACCTCCAGCCACGCGCATGCACGCACTCACACACGACACTGCACGCACCACTGCGGTGTCATTTCATGCTGTTGGAAATGACTTTTTCTTTTTTGTTGGTTGTGGGGCCTGAACTCTGGCCTGGGCACTGTCCCTCAGCTCTTCAACTCAAGGCTAGCGCTCTACCACTAGAGTCATAGCTCCACTTCCGGCTTTTTCTGCTTATGTGGTGCTGAGGAATCGAACCCAAGGCCTCATGCATGCGAGGCAAGCGTTCTACCACTGAGCCACCTTCCCAGTCCCTGGAAATGACTTCATGGCTAAGATGGATGGATGGAGGGCGGTACACAGCTGGATGCACAAGAAAGAACTGGAAAGTAGACACTGGCTGCTCCTGGCACTGTGTGGAGAGGGAGGAAGGAAAGGAGAGGAAGAAGGGAGGGGAGAGGAGGAAGGGGTGGGCCTTTCTTTTCCTCTTGACGCTGGTCGTGGGGCTTGATTCAGGTCAGGGCGCTGTCTCTGAACTTCTTACTCAACGTTGGTGCTCTACCACTTGAGCCACAGCTCCACGTCTGTCTGTTTGGTGCTTCCTTGGAGATGAGTCTCATGGACTTTGCTAATGTGGGATCAGCTATGAACTTCCCACGTGAGCTTGGGGAGAGCAAAGTGGCCTTCAGGGCATTTGTCTGGGAGGAAACAAGCGGCATGGAGCAGCATTCTGCGCGAGTCTGTGCAGCCTCTGGAATCCACAAAATCCTCCAGGCCGCAGCCGGCCGGGGTGGGCAGGGGCAGCCTGATGCCCGCACAGGGCGTGTGCCCAGGACTTGGCCTCAGAGATAACAGGGAATTAAAGAACTCTGGACAGCCGGGCGCCGGTGGCTCCTGCCTGTCATCCTAGCTACTCAGGAGGCTAAGATTTGAGGATCACGGTTCAAAGCCAGCCAGGGAAGGCAAGTCTGTGAGACTCCTATCTCCAATTAATCACCAGAAAACAGAAGTGGTAGAGGGGTACAGTGCTCGCCTTGAGCTGAAGAGCTGAGGGACAGCGCCCAGGCCCAGAGTTCAAACCCCATGACTGAAGGAAAAAGAAAAGGAACCACTGACCTATTTTGTGCACACGGACTCTAGGAGCAGACACCACACACATCTAGATGTTAGCATTGTTCTCCAGTCTCCTGGGCCAGCACACCTCGGTCAAGAGTGTCCTTGTATGGGGTACTGGTGGCTCATGCCTGTATAACCTTAGCTTCTCAGAGGCTGAGAGCTGAGGCTCAAGATTCAAAGCCAGAAAGTGGTGCTGTAGCTCAAGTGGTAGAGCGCTCGCCTTGACGTGAAGAGCTGAGGGACAGCGCTCAGGCCCAGAGTTCAAGCCCCATGACCGACAAAAGAAGAGAAAGAAAAAGATTCAAAGCCAGCCAGAACAGACCAATAGGCGAGATCCCTGTCCCCAGTTAACCAGCCCAAAGCTGGAAATGGAGGTATGGCTTGAGTGGATGAGCACCAGCTTTGAGCAGGAAATGCCAAGCAAGGGCACGAGGCCTTGAGTTCAAGCCCCAGCATGGACAGACAGACAGACAGACGGATGTTACTGTGTACCATCGTGCGGCTCGGTCTCCCCACCTGAGGAAAAGGTACCCCTGCTCTGGCTTGGGGCAGGGGTGTGCACCTCGAGCCCTCTTCTGGGTCAAAGGAAGGAAGGACGATGGTGTGCGTGCGGAGTCTTTGTCCAGAATAGTTTTATTAGATTGGATACTGCTTGTCAGCACTCTTCTCTCCTACTCTGATGCCCAAATCCACTCACTCGGACTCCTCTTCCCCCCAGATCTCGTAGATGGTGATGTTGTTGTGGGGGTCCGGGGGCAGCTCTGGGTTTTGCAGCTTGGGGGGGCTTCCAGTTGCCATGGTGACTTTCAGATTCCGCACCCTGGACAGAAACTTCACCAGGTCCATCTCGAGCTGGGTCAGCGTGTTAAACGCGTGGTCTTTGGTGGGGGAAGCCTTTGGACTTTTCTTTAGTGGCGAGCGGAATTGACAGCCTCGAAGGCTGGAAATATTCTGCTCCTGCAAAGACACGCTGCGGGTGAAGAAGGGCAGCCCGACAGGACATTTCCCATGCAGCTCTGGGCCACCTTTTGGAAAACTGGTCCAATCTGGCCCACCATCTGTGTTTCGTGCTGTCCTGGGGCTTGAACTCAGGGCCTGGATGCTGTCCCTGTGCTTTTGTGCTCAAGGCTGGTGCTCTACTCCTTGAGCCACAGCCCTACTTCCAGCTTTTTGTCTGGTTAATTGGAGGTAAGTCTCATGGATTTTCCTGCCCAGGCTGGCTTTGACTAGGATCCTAGATCTCAGCCTCCTGAATAGCTAGTTTGACAGGCGTGAGCCACCATGGCCTGGCTGCTCTGACGGTTTTTATAGATTTATTGGAACCCAGCCATGCTTGTTTTTGGTTTGTTTTGTTTTATTGTTAGTTGTGGGGCTTGAACTCTGGGCCTGGGTGCTGTCCCTGAGCTCTTTAGCTCAAGGCAAGTGCTCTACCACTTGGTTTTCTGGTGGTTGGAGATGCGTCTCATGGATTTTCCTGCCTAGGCCGACTTTGAACCTGGACCCTCAGATCTCAGCCTCGTGAGTAGCTAGGATGACAGGCGTGAGCCACGGGCGCTCGGCTCCAGTGACTTCTTATAGATTTATAGGGACGCAGCCATGCTTTCATCTGCACAGTAGCTGTAACCAGAGTTGAACAGCAGCCCCTTAACGGAAGCTCGCGTCTCTCGCCAGCAGGGGCAGTGCGTCCTGAAGCCTTGGGTCTGCCCAGGACACTTTTTCCCCTCTCAACTTCAAAAGGCTGGCAAGCCACTCTGGGGACCAGCAGCAGGTACCATTAACCCTATGTACAGGCCTTGCACGACCTTCCCTGGGAAGATGGGAACATCCTGACGGAGTCCAAGATGCACAAGTCTGAGACCTTAAATAACCAGGGCACAGCCGGGCACCGTGGTTCATGCCTGTAATCCCAGCTACTCAGGAGGAGACTGAGATCTGAGGATCCAGGCTCAAAGCCAGCCCAGGTAGAAAACGTTCTGACAAACTTATCTCTAAGAAATCAGCACAAAAGAAAGCTGGGGCTTAAGTGGTAGAGCACCAGCCTAGAGCCAAACAGCCAAGGGACAGTGCTTAAGCCCTGAGTTCAAGCCCTCTTACCAGCATGTACATACGCACAACCACAACAACAAAATCAAGGATGGCGAACCTGGCTTTATGAATAATTCTGGCTCAAAATACACTGTACATTTTTTTGTCAGTCATGGTGCTTGAACTCTGGGCTTGGGCGCTGCCCTTGCGCTCTTCAGCACAAGGTCAGTGCTCTACCCCTTGAGCCACAGCACCACTTCCAGTTTTCTGTGGTTTGAACCTCCATCCTCAGATCTCAGCCTCCTGAGTAGTTAGGATTACAGGCGTGAGCCACTGGCGCCTGGCTTGTACATTTTTTTTGCCAGTCCTGGGACTTGAACTCAGGGTCTGGACACTGTCCCTGAGCTTCTTTTTGGATCAAGGCTGGCACTCTACCATTTGAGCCACAGTGCTACTTCTGGCTTTTTCTGTGTATGTGGAACTGAGGAATCAAACCCTGGGCTTCGTGCATGCTAGGTGAGCACTGTACCATGAAGCCATGTTCCCAGCCCTGTACATTCTTTATCCTCAATTTGGAAAAAAGGAGTAACTTGATAGGCCAAATTGTGAGCCATTAACCAACTCAATACAAATGTCCCAGCCTCGGTGGGCTTGGGACACCCTACAGTCTTCACGAAGCGCACGGCCCAGGGTTTACAAGGATGGGGCAGCTACCCCCTCCCCCCTTTGAAATTTATCCCCAGTCCTGCCTGGACCGGCCAGAGATTTCTGGGACTGAAAACTGGGCTCATGCCTGCCCTCCTTGCTACTCAGGAGGCCGAGATCTGAGGTTCACAGTTTGAAGCCAGCCCGGGCATCAAAGTCTGAGGTTCTCATCTCCAGTGAGCGCCTAAGAAAGCCAGAAGTTGGAGGTGTGTGTGGCTCGCGCGGTAGAGAGCCCTGAGCCGGCCAGGGCCAGGGCCAGGGTTCAAGGCCCAGGACTGGGGGTAAAAATGGCGCCCTCCTCACCTTACTCTTCTCACTCTCTCCTCGAAACTTCAGTATCACATACAGCACAACAACGAAAAAAAGCCAGAGCCATTTGCTCCCAAGCCAGCCTTGGGCGTGCTCTGGAAGGTTCTGCCTGATCCGGAAGTGCCCTCCGCAGGGCGCCTTCCCCTGGGGCTCTCTGGCCATCTCCCTCAGCGACGAGAACATGAAGGCGCAGCCGCAGGAGAGGCAGAGGGGGAAGAACAGGGGCCATCTCAGCGTCCGCATGGTGGGCAGAGCTGGGGCCGGGCGCCGCTCATGGTGGGTCTGTTGGCTTGGCGCCGGGGCTGGGCAGCTTCTGCTGGATGCTCGTGATGTCACAGAGGGCCCGGCCTGCAGCCCCTGCCATTGTGACCCCTTCAGGCTGCAGAGCAGGGATCGCCGTGGTAGCCTGGGAACAGGACTTGGGGAGACAGTTCTAGAAGCCATAGAAGGGAGGGCAAGTCAGCCGCCCCTATTCTGAGCCTGGCACTCTGCTGGGCGGTTTGTGAGCTGGCACCACACGCCCCACCGCTGTGGAAGAGGTCGCCGATGCCCAACCTCCACTTGCCAGTGTTCCGGTGTAGATCTGTGTCTTGGAAAGCACAAAGTTTGGGGGGCAGCGGCTGCTCTCCTAGGCCATGTGCAGCCATCGCTGCACCCACAGCCCCTCCCCGCCTGCCCAGCCCCATCTGCGGGGTGACCCGGGGAGCACTGAGCACACTCACTTGCCATCCCAGCACGCAGGAGGCTGAGGCAGGAGGACCGTGAGTTCAAGGCCAGCCTGCTCCCAAACATCACAATTCATTAAAATGGTCATAAGAGCTAGGTGCTGGTGGCTCGTGCTGTGGTCCTAGATACTCAGGCTAGGAGCAGGCGGCTTGAGGCCAGGCAGGGCAGAAATGTTCACAAGACCCTATCTCAGAAGTAACCAGGAGCGCTGGGAAGGTGGCTTAGTGGTAAAGTACTTGCCTAGCATGCATGAGGCCCTGGGTTCCATTCCTCAGCACCACATACACAGAACAAACAGGAAGTGGCGCTGAGGCTCAAGTGGTAGAGTGCTAGCCTTGACCACGAAGAGGCTCAGGGACCGTGCCTAGGCCCCGAGTTCAAGCCCCAGGACTGGCAAAATAAATAACCAGGAAGGTGGGCACCCACGGCTCATGCCTGGCATCTCAGCTACTCAGGAGGCTGAGATCTGAGGGTCATAGTTCAAGGCCAGCTGGGAAAGTCCCTGAGACTCTTACCCCGGTAAACTACTCAGAAAATGACAGAAGTGTTGCCGTGACTCCACACTGCTGGCCTTGAGCAGAAAAGCTCAGAGATAGTGCCCAGCTCAGAGAGGAGAAACAAGGGGGAAAAAGGGGGGGGGGGGGGGAGACTAGAGGTGTGGCTCAGATGGTTGAGCTGAAGCCTGGTGAGTGAGAGGCCTTGAGTTTAAGCCCAGGACCACTCCCCCTCAAAGACAGAGCGCAGGAGAGCAGCGGGGCGGGCGGGTTCTAACTCAGCTGGAGGCTGGAGCCTGAGGTGTGGTGCAAGTGCGCCAGGCAGGGAGAGGGGCTGACCCCCGGCCTGCGTGGGGACCCCGACATGGGGCACAGGTGGACAGCCGCGCAGCCATTGGCAGAGGTGGCGCAGGTCCCACCCGCTCCCCAGGGTCACCTGTCTGCACCGCCGAGGCCCAGCTTCCTCCTGGGGTCTGGCGGAGCATCAGGTCCTTCCCTCCCCTCCCCCACCCCCAGTCCTGCCCCACCTCCACCAGGCAGGACTGTGCGCACGCGCAGCTCCGCTAACCACAACCGGACATGGTTTCTCACCTGCCTGGGCTGTGGGACCCAGGAGGAAGCCGGCCAAGGACGGTACAGGCGGCCTGAGCGCAGGGCGGCTCCTGACCCTTCACCGCCGCTGCCTCGTGGAGGTGTGCGCCACGCTCCGGTACAGTGCTCCCTGTGTGGGGAAATGGCCTGAGAAGCAAGCTTCCGCTAACCCGAAGGCTGGGCCCTCTGAAGAAAGTCCCTGGCCTCCCGCACTGCACGGCCTGGACTAGGGCAAAGCCTACGAGATGTCTGTCGTATGTCTGAGGTCAGGGCTTTGGGATGGACGCAAGACCCTGGACACTGAGCGGGTCAGTGGGAAACACTGGACGTGGCCAACAGTCCACCAGAATAGAAGTGAGGCGCAAGTTAAGGAAGGAATCGCACACCTCCAGTGCCAGCAGTCACGAGGGCTACGAAGCAAAGACTCCCAGCCTCCCTCCCAGCCTAACACAGCACTGAGGCTAGCAGCACTGGGGAGGGCACCCCTGTACCACACCCCCTTATACTCACTCTTTTTGGTCAGTTGTGGGGCTTGAACTCTGGGCCTGGGCGCCGTCCCTCAGCTCTTCAGCTCAAGGCAAGCGCTCTACCACTTGAGCCACAGCGTCACTTTTGGTTCTCTGGCAGTTCACTGAAGATAAGAGTCTCCAAGGACTTCCCTTACCTGGGCTGGCTTTGAACCGAGATCCTCAGATCTCAGCCTCCTGAGTAGCTGGGATTACAGGCGTGAGCCACCGGTGCCTGGCTTCATACTCTCTATGTATGTAGGGTCTCCCCTGCCCCCTGTGTGGAGGGAGAGGCGCGGAGAGGCAGTGCCAACTCCTGGGGGTGATATGGGGGGGTGGGGGGACACAGGAGAGCCAGCGGGAGAACAGCAGACCTGCTTTATTCGGTACCATACCCCCAGGTGCCCAACTGATCTCAGCTCTCTCCAGATGACACCGAGTGTCAGGTGGGACCTGGCGGTGGATGGGGGGGGGGTGCCACTGGTGAGGCCACGGCCTGGGTCCCAGCCTCAGTTTCTCCTGGGGACTGTGGGCGCTATGGCCTCCGTGGCAGGGCTGTCCACGCACGCAAGAAACCTGGGCCTTTCACTACCGAAGCAGCCACGCAGCGGCTGCGATGTTGTGGTGTGGAAAGGAGACAGCACGTGGAGGCGGAAGCAGCGAGGCCGAGCTCAAAGGGACCACAGGGGCTGGCGGGTGGCAGGACAACTTTATCACCGAGCGCGCAGGGCTGGTGGGCCGGAGGGCGGGGCTGCTCAGAAGCAGTAGGACGTGTGGGTGACCCAGTGCGCAGACTCCTCCTTGGAGCGCTTGGCGGAGCTGTGTGTGGTGAAGAGTGACTTGTAGGCTTCCGACTCCTCGCTGTCGGCAATGGATCTTTTCACGGCTCCCGGTGCTGCCTTCCCAGCTTTTCCAGGAGCACCTCCATTAGTGGCTAGAAAAGAAAGGCCCAACTTTCACGGCTGAAGGTCAGGCCGGGTCCTGGCCGGCGGGAGTGCTGGCCCGCGCCTGGCTGGCATCTCCCGAGCAGTGGCCATGACTCCCGCTGTGAACGTGCCAGTGGCTGTGATGGCCGGGCCCGGGGCGGCTCCCTCCAGGACGCCGCCGCGCTGGGCGCTCTGCAGGCAGGCGCCGCACAGCTCACAGCTTAAACTGCGTGAGCTGTGGGCCGGCTGCGCCTGTGAAGCGAATGCTGTTTGCTTGAAGTGGGGGTGGTAAATGTCAGGGTCCGGGCTGGCGCTGGGCCAGCAGCGGGGCAGGGGCTGGAGAGGACTGCGTGGCACCGGTGGAGCCGGCTGTGCCGAGACCAGGAGGCGGCCATGGTCCCGAGCCGTGCACAGGGCACCGAGCGTGTCTGAGTGGGCCGGGTGGCCTCTGGCCACACACAGTCACCACCTGGACAGCACCCAGGACAAGCTGCTTCCGGTCCTCCCTCGTGTGGCCGCAGGCCTTCCACCCCCAGCTCCTCCGTGGGACTCACCTGCACTTTTGGGGGCCGAGGCTGGCTTCTCTTTGAGGTCGGAGCCGCTTTCCTCGGCCCTGCCAGGCTTCACTTTGGATGGCCCTGGGCATTCTGGAAAAGAAACACAAACCCAGCAAAGCGGGCCGTTGTGTGGGCCGCGGGCCGCGGGCTGCAGGCCGAGGTGCTGCTGTTCTAGCTCTAGCACTCACCTTCGGTGGCTCCCGCCTTCGAAACACACTCCACGCCCTTGGGCTTCTTGGTTTTCTGCAAGAGGAGAGAAGCGGGGGAAGCATTAGACATGGCTGTGGCGCCTCCTTGTGGCCGGTGGTCTTGGCACAGCAAACCCGGCGCTGGCACGGGTCAACTCTGACCCAAGCCTCCATGTGCATGTGCATGCCGGTCTGCGCGAGGGCCTCCTGCTGGGACAAGACGCCAGTGCCACTCAGTGGCCATTGGGGACCGCTGCCACGGCGGGCAGAGCAACGCGGGTGCGCAGTCCAGCAGCACAACATGGGCTACGTCCATGGATTACGTCCAAAACTCTCAATTACTTCTAGGTTGTTTTTTTTTTTTTTTGTCAGTCATTCCTGGGTCTTAAACTCAGGGCCTAGCTGTTGTCCCTGAGCTCTTTTTGCTCAAGGATAGCACTCTACCACTTTGAGCCAAGCTCCACTTCTGGTTTTCTGGTGGTTAATTGGAGATCAGAGTCTTACATCCAGATTTTCCTTTGAACCATGATCCTCAGAGCTCAGCCACCAGAGTAGCTAGGATTACAGCGCCTGGCTCTGGTTAGGTTCTTAGGCACTAGAATTGTGATATGTTAATTGCTGGTCAGCAAGAATGGAAAGAAAGGAGCCATTGTAAAATCACACAGCCACAGCCGGGCACTGGTGGCTCACGCCTGTAATCCTAGCTACTCAGGAGGCTGAGATCTGAGGATTGCGGTTCAAAGCCAGCCCGGGCAGGAGAGACCGTGAGACTCCTATCTCCAACAAACCACCAGAAAACCGGAAGTGGCGCTGTAGCTCAAGTGGTAGAGCGCTCGCCTTGAGCTGAAGAGCTGAGGGACAGCGCCCAGGCCCAGAGTTCAAGCCCCATGACCGACAAAAAAAAAAAAAATCACACAGCCACGTCTGCACTGACTCAACTGCAGAGACAGGACTGCGTTCGTTTAGTTTACTAAAACATCACTTTAGTGGTGGTAGCAAGGCCAGAGAGCCACATTATTTCGGACGACCATCTCCACCTGCTGAACACTGAAGGGTCCTTCTTAGGCTCGGCCTCCCACTGAGGGCGGCACCTCTAAACAGGCCGACGCCAGCCGTCCCCGCTGCCAGGAGGGACAGGGCGGCATGTGTGGAGGGCCAGTCACTTCCGCTGAGCTCTGACCAATCGGCAGGGAGCCTGGGACAGGCAGGCGTGCTCAAGCAAATGGGACAGAGGCCCACGAAGACCCCAGTAGCTTCTGCAGTGCTCAGTTGCCCCTCGTGTGTGTGTGTGTGTGTGCATGTGTGTGCGCGCGCATGCGCACTGGAACTCAGGGCTGGGTGCTGCTCATAAACATCTGCGCTAGCTAGCTAGTACCCGTGCCTACTCAGTGAATCGTTGTACGAAGTGCGCTGCTGGCCTCGGCAGCTCTGAGGGTTGAGCGCAGGGCTCCTCCTGCCAGGCGGTGCCTCCTGCTGAGCCGCGCCCCAGCCCTGTCGTCAGGCAGCGCTTCCGCGTCCCAGCGCCAAGACTGCCCCCTCCCCGCACAACCCCGCCACTGCGTGCCCGGTGTGGGGCGTTGTCTACGCTGTCACTCGTGGTGGGGCCGAGTGTGGACGGGTACCACGGTGCCCGGCACGAGCGGGAGGGGGTGGACCCACGCGCTCAGAAGCTGCC